AGATCCGAAATTTGTATCTAGATTATGGAAGAGTTTGCAGGAAGTTATGGGGATAGAACTAAGATTCAGTACTACATTCCACCCACAGACCGATGGGCAATCAGAACGAACAATACAGACTTTGGAAGATATGCTTCGGATGTGTGCTTTGGACTTTCAGGGGAGTTGGGAAGACTATTTGCCACTTACAGAGTTTGCATACAATAACAGCTTCCACTCCAGCATCGGTATGGCACCATACGAGGCTTTGTATGGTAGAAGGTGTAGATCACCTATTTGTTAGATAGAAGTCGGGGATAGAGCTTTACTTGGGCCTGAAATTGTGCAAGACACTTCTGAGAAAATCAAAACTATTCGGCAAAGGCTCAAAATAGTTCAGGACCGACAAAAGAATTATGCAGATGTTCAGAGAAGACCTCTTGAGTATGAGGTTGGTGACCATGTGTTCATCCGTGTATCTCCGATGAAAGGCCAAGTTAGGTTTGGAAAGAAGGGCAAGTTGTCGCCCAGTTACATTGGGCCATTTCAGATTCTGGAAAGGCTTGGCCCAGTTGCTTATAGAGTTGCTTTGCCACCGGGATTTGAACAAATCCATAATGTATTTCACGTGTCGATGTTGAGGGGTTACCTCCGAGACCCGTTTCATGTGATTGATTATCACCGGGTAGCTATAGATGAAAATACGGAATACGCTGAATGGCTGGAACGAATAGTTGATCGGCAAGTGAAACAATTGAGAAGCAAGTCCATCCCAATGGTGAAAGTGGAATGGAAAGAACACTATGGGACGGATGCTACATGGGAAAAAGAGGAGAAAATGCAACTACGCTATCCACATTTGTTTCCCGACGAAGGTAAATTAAGTTTGGAGGACCAAACTTCCTAAAGGGGGGAAGACTGTGATATCCCTGTTCCGTAATATGTTAATTGGTCCTTAATATGAGCATGATTATGTGTTTAATATGATTTTGTGTGCCATTATGTGAAAATATGTGGTTTTGAATTTCTATCTGTTTACCGTAGGAATATCTGTTTGATTATCTGCTTTGGAAATTAAATTGAAGGCCTTATCGGCCACAGAACCCAAAATTGATTACGCCATTGTGATTAGCGTAATTTTTAGAGCCTACGGTGAAATTTAATTAAAAATTGATTCGGACCAGATTAAGTTGATTAAATTGATGAATTAGTGCCCAATTATTTATTATTAGTAAATTGGTGCTAGTGGGAACTTATGTAAAGAGGCACTATACATTTAATTGATACACTGGAGCTCAAAAATCAGATTTTGTGCCTTGAGAGAGAGAGGGCCGGCTATAGAGAGAGAAAGAGAGAAGAATTGTGTTTGGCTCAAGTTTGTGAAGAATTGGAGGATTAAACTCAAGATTTTGGTACAAATTGGGAGAATTAAACTCCTAGGTGAGTATTTCATGGATTCTAGTTGTAATTTTGTGTATTCAAGCTAGTTGGGTAATCAAGAGTAAGTTTGACATGAAATTGGGTTAGTTTTGTTGAATTGAAGGTCAATGTATGCATGCATATGTGTAATTGCTTTGGATTTGCATGTTTGACCACAAAATGTATGATCCATGTAAGATTTTGGTTAGAATTCATGCTTGTGATCACCATTTGCACCACTTAAGTTGATAAGGAGAGTTATATCTCACATGCATGTACAATTTATAAGAATATAAGCTTGAATGCATGAAATTGTTATGTTGAAGGTGAATTTGGTGTAGATTGGGACATGCATGTGATTAATTGGTGAAATTCAGCTTCATTGGGTTGTAATTTGGGGTTTATATCATATTAGTACAAGTATATTTGAAGTTTGAGCTATTGCATGCAAGAAATGTTAAATGGAATGTCGAATTGAAGCTCAAGAACATGTTCTGGGTTTTCCAGAATTTTGATGTCCGCTCGAGTGGGGAAACCGCCGCTCGAGCGTGAATTTCGTGCTCCTAGTATTTTTGCAGAGTTCGCTCGAGCGGGGTAATTTCACGCTCGAGAAGGGAGCCATGTAGTGAGGCCTTCCGCTCGAGCGCTAGACTTCAAGCTCGAGCGTAATTTTGATGCATCCAGTACTTTTGCAGGCCTCAAGGGTACGCTCGAGCGGGGAAGTCCACGCTCGAGCGGAGACCCTGTTTTCTGAAATTTTGAAAAGACATTCTGTGTTTCATTTTCTATTCTCTTTTACTTCCAAGTACTCTTAGGCATGCATTGAGCATTGTAATTGAGTTAAAGAGATAAGAATGAAACCTAAAGAGGAAAATGTGAATTTAGAACGGATCAAATTGTTTGTGACCCTTTTGTGTTCATGGAATGTGTAGGGTCGAGGTCCAGGGCAAACCAACCAACCAATCACTGTGAGTAATATCTTTACAGAGATATCTGAAATATGTTATTGTCCAATTGCTTACTTCTATGTAAGTTTTATAAGTTCATTGATTCGATTGGTGGACAATATTTGCCATACCAAATGAGTGGGCCAGAGGCCGTTTTGACATGAATGAATGAGCCAGAGGCCGTTTTGACATGAATGAATGGGCCGGAGGCCGTTTCGACATGAACGAATGAATGGGCTAAAGGCCAGTTTGTCATTTGAATGGGCCAAAGGCCAGTTTGTCATCTGAATGGGCCAAAGGCCGTTTGACGCAAATGAAAGTTTAAATGGGCCAAAGGCCAGTTTGTTCGGAACTGTAGTCACTTGACCTAAATTGTGTATATTTGTTAAATAGAAATATGAATTGGGCCCAAGGCCGTTTGAACCATGTTGTTCTACATATCATTTATATAACTTCTGTATTTGATATTATTCACTGGGCTATCGCTCACACTCATTCATGCGTTTGTAGGTGAGCCCAAAGAAGTCCAAACGTAGTCCTAGTGAAGTCTATGTGGAACAACAAAGGTTTTGGGAGAGTCAGCCCTTGTGTCTCACACACGAGACCGTCTTCGCCCTTTTATTATGTATTTATATTTTGTCATATTGGCGAAGACTTTGCATATGTTGTATATGGTCGTGATGGGTTGACTTAGACTTATATGATCCTGTATGTACAGAACCTTATGTAGTACATATTTTGTTGTGAGTTATTAATATGGATATGTATGGTTTGTTATGATGTGCCATGTAAGCACGGCTCTACAGACAAAGTTCTAAATTGCTTCCGTTTGGTCCCCATTAACTCTGTTAAAATACGTTACGTTTGGTTTGAGGCCGTAGGTAATCTCATGATTACTGGCCGGTTATGTCCTTAGCCTACGGGGGCGGGTTCGGGTCATGACAGTACTTTTATTTTAATTGTTAGGTTTTTGGGGGGTATGTTAGGTATTCTTCTTGAATTTGTGATGGAACAATCATTGATGAAGACCATCAACACCTTTGATCGGTTAAGTAATCTTCCAGACAACATAATTCATGACATCCTATAGTTGCTTCGTATCAGAGACATTGCATGTGTCTGCACATTGTCAAGGAGGTTGAGACAGCTTTGCTTTTCTGTGCCATCCTTGAATATATCCATAGACCGATTCTTGAAAACACCTATTGAGCAACAAAAATATAACAATTTTACTGCATATATTGAGAGGTTCTAGCAGCTACGCAGCAATAATCGGGAATACTTACCTTGCCTTCGCATTGCTAACCTTCACCGTGACCTAAACCACGACATGGATTTTCGTATAGTGACATGGATATATAACACGACCATCTGTCATGTTAGGTGTGCCTAAAATTGAAAAAAACATTGCTTTAAATATTAAAAAAATTCAATAAAAACAAAAAGATACGAAAAATGAAAAAATAAAATTTTCTGAAAAGTAAATTCTGAAAATGAAAACCAAACAAAGTGAATATGTTTCTAAGTTTTAGATTTGTTGCGAAAATATTATACATGTATTGAAACATTATCTCGTAGCAAATAATTGAAGTATATAATATTATGAAACACAAATTTATTCGTAGAAGCTTGAAACATACTAAGTCTGTTGCATAACACAAATTTAGGTACTTCAAATAGAGTATAGAACACAAGTTTTTTGTCTATTTTAATATTACAAACCAGGAATAAATATATTTGATACAATATTATATAATCAAAATGTCAAAAATTGCATATAGTTTAATTCTGTAGATTTATATTTTCTGGCCAGTATTGCCTGGTATTGACCAGTATTGATAAAACTTATCGAGCAATTAGACGGAACAAAATTAGTTTATGTGTATGCCAATTTCTCTCTAATATAGAACGTACTAGCCAGTACGATACAAGATTGACAACATTGATTCAAACCATATAGATATAATTATAAGTTTACCCTTTGATATCAATTTGATTTCTTTTTAGACTTTTGTCAATCCAACTCACGTATTCTACATAACAAAACAATGAATAAAAACTGATTTTTTGTTTTTTTTAAAGTCGTACTGTGCTCAAATAATGGTATTTTGTGATTTGTTCAATATATATTTTTTTTTTTTGGGATCACATGAGCATATAGTCCTTGTTTTTGGAAGCGTACACAACCAAAATCATATTCCGAAAAGACACAATAATTACTTGTGACTTAGGCTTCAATGGATTTTTCGAATCATATAACCCTTGTTTTGTGATAGATACATCGCGGTTTTAATGGAAAAACCTTTCTTTTTGTGTTTTTTATTTTTGTTTGTTGTGGGTATATAAGAGAAATTGTACTTTGTTTTAAGTCGATAGCTGTATTGTAAAACTTTGTATTTCAATTCATGTACATATTTAATTTCTCACTCCCAAAGTTCTTTAGAATTGACGAGTAGTACTATTGTACAATTTAAAAGGGTACACAGAGAAAAAAAAAATCATGATCAATCAGTTGTAGAATAGAAAAGATATGAGTATGTGGGGGACAAGGTATTCCACTCTTTTAATATCAGGTTTAGTTACATGCTCTTTCTTTCATTACTATATGAATTTTATTTAGTACTTTCATTTTAAATGTAAGTTTTTTGGGGGGGTATGGTAGGTATTCTTCTTGAATTTGTGATGGAACGATCATTGAAAAAGACCATCAACACATTTGATCGGTTAACTAATCTTCCAGACAACATAATTCATGACATCCTATCGTTGCTTCGTATCAGTGACATTGCATGTGTCAGCACATTGTCAAGGAGGTTGAGACAGCTTTGCTTTTCTGTGCCATCCTCGAATATATCCGTAGACCGATTCTTGAAAACACCTATTGAGCAACAAAAATATAACAATTTTACTGCATATATTGAGAGATTCTGGCAGCTACGCAGCAACAACCGGGAATACTTACATTGCCTTCGCATTGCTAACCTTCACCGTGACCTAAACCACGACATGGATTTTCGTATAGTGACATGGATATATAATGCGACCATGTGTCATGTTCAAGAGCTCGACCTTGATATTGTCGTCTACAATACATGTTGTTTGCCTTTTTTCACCTTGAACTGCACATCACTGTGGGTTTTAAAATTGGGCTTGCACAGTTTTCCTCTCAAGTTGCCAAACGCAGAGTTCAACTCGCTGCAGGACTTGTCGTTGAAGTCATTCAGAATCGTTGATCCATTGCTCGGAGAATGAATTTTGTCCAACTGTAAGGCCATCACAAGTTTAAGCCTCCGGTCATTCTGTGGAGCAAGCAATCTCAACATTACAAGCTCTTGTCTTCAAGATTTGAAAATTGAAACAATGACTTGTAATTTAAGAATTTCTGGAGTCGAACTACGAAGTTTGCATCTATTATCGAGGGGTTGGAAGTAATTTCACCAAAACATCATTAACAATTTGTGCCCCAAATCTCCTAGAGTTGAATTATGTAGGAGGCATTGGATATTGCTATTGTCAAGAGGGAATTCGGGTCTCTGTAAATTGTTGGTATTGTTGTCACAGACGTTCCTACTGTGAAGGCCAAGATTGACAGCTTTATTAACTTCTTCTGTCTAAACAAAGCAAGACAAATGACATTAGGTGGTGCACTTTTAAAGGTATTTATTAACCTCATGCTACTTTATCATTTTGTTTTTTTATTTTTTCTTGTACTACCTACCTTTATTCGATCAAAAACCTACCTTTATTCTTTCATTTTATTTATTTGGACAAATTACATTGATAATCCATAGATTTTATCTTTTGTGTAATTGTGTTCCTTACATTTTTAAATAACTCAATTTTGATCTGTCATTTTAAATTTTTTGTCAATTTGATCTAATTGACAACACAATTACAGTTTTTTTAACGAAAAATGATCACGTCGATTAAAGTTGACTCACTGAATTTATCATGTTTATAATTTTGCCTCTAAAATCATGGCATAAGCTGCTCATATGTGCATTTTTCATTAAAAAAAAATGCTTGAAATTGTAATCAATTGTATCAAATTGAAACAAAGTAAAAAATTTAAAGTCGAAATTGAGTAAATTGAAATTACAATAATTAAAATGATACAAGAGCCAAAGTATAAGGACTACCAGTATAATTTTTTCTATATATTTTTATGTACTTTATATTTTGTATAAGATTGAGCTTCTCTATAGTTAGACCATATAATTGGGCAACATATTTATGGTCAAGATTATCAAATCGATCGAATTTTCTTTTATTTATGATTTATGGGCCCTATGGGCATACTAGGAATGTCCGAGCTATATTTGTGTGTGTGTTGATTTTCGATCACACAACTAAAAGGCGGAACTCAGCTGGAGAGCACTGGCAGAATAGATTAAGCCCGAACAACCTGTCACAGAAAAATAAGAATCCCGCGGTGGTTCGTCCACCCAGAGGCACTCCGACAATCAAGTCAGTAAAATATCTCTTAAAGATAACTAATAGTGCGTAACTCACTAGACAGAGCATAAAAGACATACCTTAGACCCATGGGGGTGCCTCCCTTTTATAGCCAACACAATCCTAATCCCAATAGAAGCCTAGCTCTAATAGACTTAGGATTACTGCTAATCTTGGACTCTCAGTAGGATTGGGATAAACTCTGTAAGAGTCTTATCTTTACTCAAACTGAAGTCTTCTCCCATTCTAGGACTCTTGTCCCTTATCCGCTTATCCTGGATTCCGGTATCTTTGCAGATAACCCCGGCCTAACCGAGATCACCTCGGCGTTATGACTAGGACACATAGCACCCCGACTGACACTTCGGTGACACCTCGGCCACATGTTTATCACTCAAAAATTATGTCCCCACAATTTGGATCCGGCATCAGCGAATCCTTCTATATATTTCTTATATCTTGTGCCTGTTTGAGAACCCAAGTTTGAGGATAAAATAGCCTCAAACACTAAAAAAGCCAAATAGCCGCAAATAGTGCCCTAAACTAATGATTTATATTTAAAAAAAAAAAAACGCGACAGTGGCAACCTACACTATCACGTTGACAGTGCACTAACAGCCTACCACTGTCACATTGGTAGGCTGTTCCATAGATAGTAAATAACAATTTTGCCCCTTTAGACGAATTTTGGAAAAAGTGAGGTTATGAACAAATTTGTCATTTCAGCCTCAAATATCATTTCAAACACATTTTTCAATACAACAATCAATCAAAAATTCAACCTAACTTCCCAAACATAAAAACTATCCTACTAAAATAGTCAAATAGCCAAAAAGTCAAAAAAAATAACTACTTCCCAAACAAGGCCTTATTCCTATAATTATCATAATTCCAATTTGGATTATATATATTTTAGTAACCTATGACCAATCATGGCCTAAACGACTTAGACTGCATTAGAATCTTAAAATATTTGTAATAATAGTCATAGAATTGTGTAGTTACATACTACTATCTCAATCGTGTAGTTAAAATTTACATTTTTTAAATTCTTTAAAAATCCCAAAACTTCCCCAAATTGGAAAAGCTCAAACAAATCAAAAACTCTAGCTTTAAATGATTCTCTTCTTTGAGAGCTAAAATAATCTTAAAAGACTTTAAAATAATTTTTAAAATATTTATTTTTGTCTAACTAACATGTAAATTTTATGAAAAAAATTCAGAAATGATTTCCAAAAACTAAACCAAACAAAGTCTTTTGTTTTTTTTTTTTATTTAAAAATTATAGTTAAAAAATAGAAGCACTATAAATCAGTAAGCATTTCAAAAGAATTCAAAAGTGGGAAGAGAGAGAGGCAGAGGGAATATTTTACAAAATTTCAATTTTTTTAAATATTTATTTTTTTTCATTTTTTTTTGCTAGCTAGTTTGTACATTTTTTGAAGAAAAAAATCAGAAATAATTTCCAAAAACTAATCCGAACGAAGTCTTTTAGGTTTAAAAAAAAAATAGAGAAAGATGGAAAATAAAATCACTATATTTCAACAGGCATTTCAAAAGTATTAAAAATTTTAGAGGAGTGAAGAAACTTACAATAACCATGACCATGTTCGGTGGTCAAAGTGGGATATTGAGAGAGACAGTGCACATGCGAATGAGGGGTAGATAGAGGGAGAGCTAGAGAGAACTAGGGCCAAAGTGAGAGACAGATCTATAGCTTCGAAACAAAAATGAATCGTTTAGTGACCATAAATGAAGTATAAAAGAAAATTTGAAAAAATAAAATTTAAAAATCAATTTTTTAGTCAGCCTCGCAATAATTGCCACGCTTGAAAACATTTGACACACGTATTTAGTCAGCCCAACACGTAAACAAGACGCATATGTGCAACTATAAACATGGCCCAAAAAAAGTTGGGCACTATAAACAAGGCCCAAAACAAAGTATCCGACTAGTTTGAAACATAACAAAAAGTAGTTGGCCCAAAGAGTTCAAGCCAGGCCCAAAATATTTGATTTCTTTTTTTTGGGTCAGACAATTCAATGGCCTACACCATTATTTTTAATAATTCTTACATAAAAAAAGATTTCAAAATCGATTTGCACACATTTTTAGTTGGGCCCAACAAGAGCAATTATCAACATGGCCCAAAAACAGTGAGGCTAGTTGGGCCGAAATTTGAAAAAATAATTTTTTACAGGCTAAACAAAAATTGCCTACTGCACATTTTTTGTGAAGCCTAACAAAAAAAATATGAACAGGCTCAGTTGTGTAAAACAATTAGTTCATATTAGATAGTAATTTGAGCCTGGCATAAATTTTTTTAAAAAAACTGATTAAGTTAAAAATAATAAAAAAAATTATATAATTTTCTCCTTTTTGGGACAAATAATTTATATAAAAAAAATGAAAAATAAACAAATTTTGAGTAGAAAAAATTTACAATGATTTTTATATATAACCAAATAATCTGAAAATCAATTTTATTTCACAAGAAAATTTAATTGATTCCATAGTTCACTACAATCACATCCCAACTCACATTCGTACCATTTCCAAAAAAATATGAGTTGTACAATGGAGAGTGAAAGAGGGAGAGACAAACGGACTGACATAATTTGAGATAGAGTGTTCCATTCTCTAATTAATTGATTAAGATTTGTTGATTGGGATAGAAAGAGAGAGACGACGGCGGAAGCATGATCTCAGAGTCATCAAACATGGCCCAAAATATGCAAAAAATAATCGTCAAACATTGTATCGTACCAACCGCCCTAGCCAAATAAAAGAATCAGTCATCACCATCCTAGCCGCCATCACCTCAGAATCATCAAACAAAGTCACACTAGAACGACATGCAAGAGAGAAAATGGTAGGATGAATCAAAATATGGAAGGAAAAAAAAATAATTATCAAAACAAATATTACAAAAATAAGAAGAAAAAAAAAAATTAAACAACGTACCTTGCCAAATTGGTTCTCGCCATTGTCATCGCCGTCACTGGAGAACAACAAGAGTCGACAAATGACGAGAGAGAGAGAGAGAGAGAGAGAGAGAGAGAGAGAATAAGTTAAAGAGTCAGATAGATAGAGCAACTAAATAGGGATAAAAAAATAGAGCAAAAAGAACAATCGGAGCCTCGCAGACATGAACGCCGCCGCGATAGTTATTGCCAGAGAAGAATAAGAGTCGACAAATGAAAACATACATAGAAAGAGAGAGAGAGAGAGAGAGAGAGAGAGAGAGAGAGAGAGAGAGAGAGAGAGAAGCTAGGCAAAAAGTGAGGAAGAAAGAGAGACCTAGGTTTGATGAAGATGAATTCTTGAGCTCCAAGTCCAGAAGATCTTTGCTGCTATGCGCCATCTTAGAGCACCACAAAGTTGAAGTATCAATGAGCTTACACTATAAATTGTTGGCAAAATTTTTAGTGGCAAAATTTAGTTGTAATCTCAGTGATTACAAATTTATTTGCGGTAATCTCAATGATTGAAAGTTAGGGTTCGTGAATTTGAGTGCAGAGAGGATTTAGGGTTTTTTAGGGAGAGAAAGGGACGACAAATTTGGTTCAATCAGACTTGTGAAATTACAGGTTGAGAAAGTGGGATGGGTTAGGCTGATCTAGGCTGGTTTGGGCTGGATTTTTTCGTAGGTGGGCTTTCTACTAAAAAATAAGGGAATTTTTTGTGAAAAGCCCTCTTATCGGGGATTTTTGTGTGAAGCCCATGGAATAAAATAATGGTTCTAAAAATTCATTAAATAAAAAATATGTAGTGAAAAAACTAAAATACCCTTTTA